TACCCCACTTATGGAAATACAGAATCTTTTTTTGGTTGTACGTATAGCATGAATTTTTAAATTTAATTGACCCCTTAAATTGTATCCCCCTTCCCCTTCATTAAATAGTTTTTGAATTCCACCAGGTAATAAATTGTTCCTGGCTTTATACATAAACACAGCAGTCTTATATCCCACTAAATCAAAACATTTTAACAATTTAGACTGTATGAAAGCTCCATTGGTGTGATCCCTATACCCCATCTTATGCACAATTCTTATCGCTCTTTTTTGTAATATATACAATGGTTGAAGTGAGCTTTTGTATGTGTTTCCCCAGTTTTCAACGCCATACTCCAAGTATGGTAAAATCAATGAAGAATACAAAATACGTAGTGCTTTTCTGTCCAAAATATGTCTAACCCTTGCCAATATCGATATGTTTTTTAAGGTTTTTTTAAGTAACCTTTGGGATACTGTAGGGGTGGTAAATACATTTCTGTACTTGTACTTTGGATATTTCTGCTACTTTATGCTTCTACTAACATACAACTCAGAAGGAAACATTGCACTTTCTACTCAATTTGACAGCCAAAGATAGTCAAATCTGCACTGTTGGATACAATGAACTACCCAAAGTAGATTAAACTACTCCCCTATATAAATGAGTCCAAATGATTGTATGCCAGCCATTTACACAATTAAATGCTGCTTAGATGTTAACAAATAGATGATAATAATCCAGCTATGTCATATACAGTTTAATACACCTACTTACTACATAATACATACTTTTACTTTTGATACCAGAGTAATACTTCTGCCTAACTATGGTAAGATTTAAGCAACACATACAGTTGGTTATTTTTATATTGTGTCATTGCTCCCTCAACCTAAGTAAACACCACTCAGTTAAAATTATTTTAAAATGTTTAACCTCTAGAGTCCTGAGCTTTGGAAACCCAAGCTGTGCGGTCCTCATATGAGGACGCAGGGACTCTAGAGGTTAATCAAATGACTAATTCTCTGCATGTGGTCCTAAAAAAAAAAAATAAAATATAAATATATATATGCACTTTTGAAAATCTCGCGATATAGATTGACCAACCATTGAAACGAGCGGAGATCCCATGAGAAGATCGTCAACGTTACTTGCGTGTTACCGGTCACGTCTTACGTAGGTGTGTGTTTGTATCACTTACTAACAATATCCTTGGCCGCATATTCACAAAATGGATACGGATTATACAGAACAAATTTCATCATAGGAAGATAGTAGTACTTCTGGATAACGTCTTCTAAATGTGCTCACTGGTCAGTTGTAGTTGTTTTTGAGTATACTGAAATGTTACACAGCATTTGTTAGCCAACGTGGCTAATGGTGTTAGCTTACGGTGCTTGCTAATGCTAGCCAGATTAGCTTGTGTCCCCATAGACACCGGGCTCTATTGCGCCGTAGCATCGTCAGCGTTAGTCGGCTGGCAATGACATTAGTTGATTAACCAAATGATTATCAATGGCAACCATTTCAGCTAGATAGAAGAGGCAGTTGTTTGTAGCCATGGTAACGTTTCTGCTTAATAATAAGTTCAGAGGCGAAGTCTTGTCGTCAGTCTGTCTAAACTGAGTTAAAGTGACAAGCGTATTGCTAACATAACAGTGACTGGGCTGTCTGTAACTTCGTATAGCAAGTTCCTGCTCTTCAGTTCCGAACCCTCTAGAGAGAGGATGTTGCCCAGCCTGGCCCACAGACCATGGCACGTCTTCTGCAGGGTCTCCTTGCAGCATAGGGCGCTCATGTCCCAACTGCTCCCGAGGGTCCCTCATCTGTGTTACGGTAAGGAGTGTCACATCGAAGTGCCACTAGATGTTTGCTACAGCTATATCGGTTACACGTTCTGAGTTTTCTACTGTGCTTTAGAACTGACACTGTATGATTAGTAGAGCTAAAGAAAATTATTACTATTCTATATGATATGGTGTTTTTACACTACATGATGATACATCTTTTCGATCGTTTTCAAGCTGATTGTCGGATTCCAGCTTCTCCAGTTTCTCAGCTTTATATCATTGTAAAGTGAATATCTCTGCGGTTTGGGCTGTTGGTTAAACAAAGCATTAAGATGTCATATTTGGAACTTGACAGACATCCCTCACTGCTTATTGACGTTGTAGACGTTTTTAGACTAAGTGGTTGATTAGCAATGGACAATGAAAATAATCTTAGCTCAAGCTCCACTTAGCTTCCCCATAAACTGAAGAAAAAAGCTTACTATTATAATACACTGTGTTGCATAGGCTGGCAAAGTGGAAGCATACATAGCTTGTGGCTCAGCGTTCCAGACTGCCGAGTTGCTTCTTCAGGGCTGGGCAAGGTGCAGTACTACTGTACCTCGGATAAAGATAGACCTCCAAAATCAGAATCAAGTAATGCTCCAGCAGAAGAAAATGTCTTGTCCGGTGCTGCAAAAGCCACCCCAGCTTCACCAGGTGACAAAATAATGTTACTGTATACTACTACTATGCTGTTGATGTCTGCCTGTTCTTGGCATAGTATGTGGTTTTGTATTGTGCACAGTGGTTTTTTACTGTTTTCTCTTTTAAAACAACTAAAACTGTTGCCTTTTTACATCCCTTTTCAACACAAGTAGCAGTGAATATTTCGGTTGAGTTGAGATGTTATGTAAAATGTTTCCTTGGAGAATTTGTCTTTATTTAAAATTTTTTGCTCCTATAGGTTTAACACTTAGAGGACTGAAGACAGCAGAGACAATTCAAGTCAAGGGTAATGAACATCATTTATTCATAGGATACTATGAATCAGATTTCTTCAGAATGCTGATGTCATTTTGTGGCTAGCAGAAGAGTGGGGACTAATGACCGGCTGTATTGTAATTTGTTTCTGTTGTCATTTGCAGTTCGGGCTGTCCTGAAAAAAAGGGAGTATGGTGTGAAGTATACTCAGAACAACTTTATCACTTCAGTCCGAGCCATGAATGAGTTCTGCCTCAAACCAAGGTAACACCTGCTCCCCAAAAAATGTTATTTATTTAATATATACAGCAACTGTGAAGTGTTTACTATCAATGCCTGGCTGTGTAAATGGTATTAAATGCTTATCTGTCTGTTGAGTGCTAGTTGAGATGGTGGGCAGACCACAGCCCGAGCATGCTTTCCTTTGATGCTGTGTTTCCACTCTTGGAACCTAATAACCATTATACTTTGTACTTCCTTTACCCATCGCCAAGCATAGCCTCTCGGGTTGACGTGGCCATT